ACGAATCATCGCTGGTACCTGTATTTGGACGACGGTCGTTTGTGGATGATATTTGCTTCGGTGGCGAGGATTTCGACAGCTGCCTGGCGACGCTGGACCGATTGCTGACAAGATTTGCACAGTGTCGGATCAGCATTAGCTTCACCAAGAGCATCTTCTGCCAACCCAAGGTGGACTATCTGTCGCATAAAATTTCGCCAGAAGGTATCAGGGCGGACCCCAAGAAGCTTGCGGCCATCACCGAGCTTTCGTTTAGAAGAGCAATGGCTCTCAGCTGCAGCACGAATGAGGAGGAGAAAGAAGCTGTAGCTTGGCGGCAAAAGCCACCTGTGTGTCTCGTAGTTTATTGAAGAATGAGTTCGTTCTTTCCTTTTCTGTTGTGGTTTTGTCTTACACTAACTGTAAGCACCAACGAGCAGTACTAAACCTCAACAGCCCCACCTACTGATCGTCGGTGCACTTGGCTTCCTCAAACCGCTCTTTTGACATTAGTCCCATTGCGTCTCTGTGTTTCTCAAACACTATCCTCGAGAGAGGCTTTGTGAAAGCATCAGCCACGTTGTCGACTCCAGTAACACGTGACACGACAACTTCCTTCGTGTTGACGCGCTCTCTGATGAAATGGTGACGAACGTCAATGTGTTTCGTACGGCTGCGAAATTCAGGATTGTTTGCCAATTTCTTGGCACTTTCATTATCGACAAAAATATCCGCAGGTGCCTTTTGTTGCACTTGCAGTTCTTTCAGCATTTGCCGAAGATGTACAACTTCTTGCACAAGTAAACTCAAAGCCATATACTCAGCCTCCGTTGTATGTAGTGCCACAGTTTTCTCAGTTTGACTGCTCCACGAAATTGCACTATCACAAAACTTCGTAAAATACCCTGCAATAGACTTGCGATCGTCCACCCGATTCGCGAAGTCAGCATCAGCAAAGGCTTGTAGGTGTCGATCCAATTCCTGGCCTTGCCATTGAAGTCCACCGAGGCGAATGCCCCAATCCAGCGTCTCCCGAAGATATCTGAGACCTCGCTTGGCTGCTCGCCAGTGTAGTATGCCAGGATTCTCCAGGAGCTGACTGCATTCTCGTACTAAATATGCTAAGTCGGGGCGTGACCCCATCATTAAGTACATCAGACTTCCGATTACAGATCGATACGGCTTCGAACTCATCAGCGCTCTCTCGTCTGCATCAGCAGCACACATACTTCTTGTCAACTTCAAATCTGCTGTACACGGCGTCTTACATCCATTACATTTCTCCATTCCGAACCGTTCCAGCACAGACATAGCATACTTGCACTGACTGATGAAAATCGTCCTTTGACTGCGATTGCGAGTCACTTCCCAACCTAATATGTAGTGCAGCTCTCCAAGATCCTTCATCTCGAATCTCTCGAAGAACATTTGTTTCATCTCATTGATGAGGTTCATATTAGAAGCAAATAGGATTAGATCATCCACGTATAGAGGGATGAACACTAGCTGCCCATCAATAATCTTGACAGCCACACAGGCCTCCGACTTCAACAGTGTAAAACCCTGCTCTTCCAGAAAGGATTTCAGCAATTGGAACCACACACGTGGCGCTTGCTTTAATCCATACAAGCTTTTGAGCAAACGGCACACCCAGTTCTCCTTACTAGGCACCTTAAATCCCTCTGGTTGCTCCATGAAAACTTCCACATCAATCTTCCCATTCAGAAAAGCTGTCGTGACGTCCATCTGGTGAACTTCATAGTCCCACACAGCTGCAAGCGTCAGCAATACTCGGAGGATCTCCAGTCGCACCACAGGAGAGTAAACTTCAAGATAGTCAACTCCGTAAACTTGCATGAAGCCCTTGATCACTAATCTTGCTTTGAATCTGTCGATTTCACCATTGGCAAGATACTTGACACGAAACACCCATCGATTCTTCAATACTTTCATATTGCTAGCTCGTGGAACCAGCTCCCACGTACTGTTCTTCATCAACGCATCATACTCGTTTTGTGCAGCACTCTTCCACTGCGCGGAAAACTCATTCTTCATCGCTTCTCCAAATGTCTCGGGCTCTTGTATTGCGCTCGAGGTCAGGCAGCAGTAGTCCCGCCACCATGCAAATGCTTGTGCCTTTGCCATTTCTCGCTGCATGTCTTCTCGCGCCTTTTTCAATGTTAGAGACACACTTTCGAACTCCTCTGAATTCGTGTGTAAATACGCAACGTAGATGCAATCACCATACCATGAAGGTGGTTTGCTCACACGGCCACTCCGCGTTACTAGGTAGTCCTCAGTGCGAACACCTTCTGGCGCCACATACTCTCGCAATGCTCTGCATGAGGAGGTTTTTAAACGCTCCGTGCAAGAGTCACCACTTCGTTGCAGCATCTCCGGGTTCGCGGTCTTCATCTCGCGAGTTTCCAGAGAAGAAGTCGGCTTCTTGGTTGGTATTTCACTACGTGACTCATGTTGCTCTGACTCAGCTACATCGCTAGAGGCATGTTGCCCTGACTCGGCAACTGTCGGCGCCGCGCACCGGCCTCGCTTGCGTCGATTTTTCTTTTTGCTGTGCTTTTCTCCACAAGCAGGTATGTCTGCAGCCACACACTCAGCTCGCAGGTGGTTTACTGCAGCATGTTGCTGTTCAGTGCCGCGCACTGCCATAGACTCGACTGACGGCTGTTCCTTCTCGAATCTCACTCGTTTCTGATGAGACTTTCCACGTTCTACATCATTGCATTTTCTCTTTCCAGTAGCCCTTCCCCCAACAGCCCCACCAGTTCTGGCATTTCCTTCATTAACTGCCCCACCTGCCAGGTTCTGGTTGGTATTGTTGGTTTCAGGATTGAGCTCGATGTCTTCAGGATCGGACTCGTGCATCTCGTCCAGCATTGCCGGTATGCTCTTCATGGTAGCGTCATCTAACTCCAGATATTGCTGGGTTGACACACTAGACGTCGTCGTCGGCGTCATCAACGTTGAAATTTCAACTGCTGGAATTCGGCCTGCTTTATTCTCATAGAAGACCGCGGTATGACTGTAGAAAGCCTTTCGCGTCTTGCTGTCCAGCAAGCGATATCCACGCTTTTCACGATTGTATCCAACAAAAATGGCTTCACGCGCTTTGGCATCCATCTTTCGCCTCTCTACTTTGTCCACATAAGCCAACACTTCACACCTAAACGTACGCAGTTGCAAATATGATGGCACTTCTCGATACCATATCGAATACGGCACCTCCATATCCCTCGTTATGTTAGGCATAATATTCACACAGTAAGCTGCAGTCACTGCTGCCTCCGCCCACAACTCTTGAGGTAATGCGAAGTGATTTAACAGACATCTCATTCGCTCCGTTACGGTCCTCACCATTGGCTCTGCTACGCCATTCTGCTCCGGCGTATGCTTGATGGAAGGAGAGCAGGTCATGCCATGCTTCTTCTTGCAGATATCACTCAGCTTCCCGTATTCACGAGTATTATCCATTCGAATGTCCTTCATGCGAACGTTAAGTTGGGTCTTGACTTGCTCATAGTAGATCTCAAACTTTTCGTAAATTTCAGATCTCTCTGCTAGAAGAACAACGTCACAAAGCGACTTGCTTCGTCGATGAACAGTACAAAATATCGTTTACCAGAGTATGATTCCACTGCATATGGACCCCAGATATCTGAGTGAGTACGTTCACCAACTAGCCACTCACGCGATGGCGCGTTTGCACGAGAACGAAAACTTTTTCTAGTCATCTTTCCTTTCATGCACGACTCGCATTGAAAATCATCCGGCTCGCGCAGATCGAGTCTCTTCATCGGCCAACGTGCGTGCCGAAATAGTGCATTGAAAGCATTGCGTCCTGGATGCCCAAATCGATCGTGCCACAACTCTACATGGTGAGTTTTTCCCACTGCCACCATAGCGGTTTCTGCTGATTTCTCAAATGGAAGACGAAAGAGATTGGTTTCATCTCTGTGCGCCTTTATTCTGCTCGAATGCAACAGTACATCTGCGTAGTCCTCTTCATCAAAGTGACATCGGACTCGCTCTGTAGGTGCTAGCGCAAACGCGAAGCTTGTTTTCCCACTGCGAATAAACTGCACTGCAACTCTGGAACGTATTTTACTCCATGCAGCAGCAAAGAATATCTCCCAGTCGGAGTGACAAAATTCTTCTTCACATCACCTATGCCAACAACTTCAAGCCAATTCTTTCCGCCACACCGCACCATTGACCTCAACGGTGTAAATGACACGAAGTCAATATTCTGGTTGGTCATATGGCTCGTGGCTCCAGAGTCCAAATACCATCGATCATGAGCAAGATCAGCCACATTCTTCTCCAATTTCATCAAAGTCATAATGACGTAAGCGTTCTCATCACTTTCATTATCATTGCGACTCTTACTGCCGGTCTTGGTACTCGATTTGTTGCGCTTGTGCGCAGATCCATCATCTTGACCGTCTGTCGGAGGACGCTTGCCAAGATATGGACAATCACGCATGAAATGGTCTCCGTGGCAATGAAAACAACCGTTACCTCGCTTATGCTCACCACTGGCATGTCCTTGGCCAGCTCCACGGCTGCTTCCTCGACTTCTTTCACCACGGCCGCCAAATTCGTGTCCACGAGTACCACGGCCACCCCGTCCGCGTCCTCGGCCGCGTCCAGCTCCTCGTCCACGACCTCCTCCAGCAAGAAGAGCTTTGTCATCTTCATTTCCCTTGCTTCCTTGCTTCTTCTGCACTTGGTCATGATCATAAGCTGCCTCCAGGGCTTGTTCAAGCTGCTCGTAGTTTGGTGGGTCGTCCGGCTATTGCGATGTGTGGCTCGCCAAGAACGTTTGGACAACATTGTCGTATTCGCGCGGTAGTGAGCCAATCAGAATAGCCGGTTTATCGTATTCATCTACAGACTTGCCAACCACCGAGATGGTCTCCTTAATCCGCCGCATTTCGCTCAGGTGATCGGGCAAATTTCCTTTGGACTCAAGACGGAGGCGGCTTAATTTCACTTTTTCTTCAGCGAATTTCAGGTAGCTCTTCCCCATGAATCGCCGCTTCAGACGCTCCATTACACGATACGAAGTCCGCTCGTACTTGACTGTCTTCATTATTTGATTTGTCATCGATTCGTACAGAATCTCCTTAGTCCGAGCCGTCTTAGTAATCCAGTCCTCATGATCACTCTGTTTGCTCTCCTCAGGCTCAGTAACATCCGAGATGCAATACTGCCACAGATGCTTGCGTTGTAGCTTGAGTTTGACCCGTTCAAGCCACATCTCGAAGTCGGCACCGTCAAACGGCGGGATGGATTTCCTGTCGTGCGTAGACACCTTGTTCACCTCAGCCATTACTTCTTAGTCGTAACTGTGCTTTGCTAGCGGGAACTTAGGGCTCATAACCAGAAGAGCAATGGCTCTCAGCCGCAGCACGAATGAGGAGAAGAAAGAAGCTGTAGCTTGGCGGCAAAAGCCACATGTGTGTCTCGTAGTGTATTGAAAAATGAGTTCGTTCTTTCCTTTTCTGTTGTGGTTTTGTCTTACACTAACTGTAAGCACCAACGAGCAGTACTAAACCTCAACAGTTTTCAACAAGCAAGAAGGGCATGCAGTCGTTTCTTGGAGCGGTTAATTACTACAGCCGCTTCATTCAAGACTTCGCGGTCTACGGTGCGGCGCTGTACCAGCTCAAGGTTGAAGACTTTGCCGTTGAAGGTGGCCTTTCTGTGACACGTCGTTTCTTCGAAAATTTGAAGACGAGTGTTTCACATTCACCCATCCTCAGGCACTTCGATCGGTCGAAAGAAGTTCACGTCATGCTCTTTGCGAATGAATGGGCGTTGAGCACTACGCTAATGCAAGAACATGAAGGCAAGTTACACCCCGTAAGGCTCCTCGGTCGGGTGCTCAAGGAGGCCGAGATGAACTACCATCCTGCTGAGAAGGAAGTTTTGGCGTTACTTCTGCTGTTGAAGATCTGTTACGTCCAGCTGGCAGGAAAGACGCTACATGTCTATACACGATTCTCGACGTTAGAGTGGGTGCATAAGTCGAAGTCTCTCTTCGGACGCGCGGTCCAGTTCGCAGTGGCGCCTGAAGGTGCAGCGCGTGAGAGAGAAACATGTCGCCTTCGCGCAGCTACTGCAGTCAAGCATCACGAGCTTCGTCGACCTGGAAGACTCGCTCGCGCCGGTGGCACCTCCAGACAAGGGTTCCCCGACTATACGAATGGACCCCGCGTTGCTGTACGCCAGGCTTTCCCGTAATTACAGCGGATTCGTCATGTCTTTTGACGGATCAGCGAAGACAGAGAAGTACGGTGGCTACGGGAGTTGTTCATGGGTGCTGTGGAGCCTTCCTGAGTGGAAGGTAGTGATTGCTGCAAACGCTTACCTCTCGGCCACCACGGTGAATGAGGCAGAGTACACAGGAATGATAAACGGTGTCAAGGCTGCTATTGCCCACGGTGCCGAGGATTTAGTCATCGTTGGTGACTCAAGGCTCGCGATTCAACAATCACTAGGGGTGATCGCATGCAGGAAGGAAACTTTGCTAGCGCTGCTGAATACTCACAAGGAACTCACGGCCAAGCTTCGATCAGTTAAATATCTTCACGTTGTACGAGAATACAACGCTGCCGCGGATTCGTTAGCCACTGAAGCGCTGGAATCAAAGGTCAGCCGGGTCATCTTGGCTGAAACTCGCAAGTCGGAATTGGCGTCGCTGAATCGCATCCAGGAAATGATCTACGAACCGGATGAAGACTCGGTAGATGTTTCGTCACGTGGAGCAGAGCGTCAAATACATGTACTGTCAGGCAGCGAGTCTTCAAAGTGGAAAACTTTCGAAAATTTCGTGGTTGATTACGGCTCACCAGAGTGTGATTATGGTAATATGGCAGTGATGACTCGGCGACAGACGAAAGCTAAGAAACGCGTCAGGTTTGCGGATGAACACTTGGAGAAGGTCTCGAAAGCTCAAGAACAGCATGAAGAACGACGAGAGACGTCCACCGAAGATTCATTCGGCGAAGATTTGCCAGACCATCCTCACAAGACTGTACCAGCGGCATTTCCCGATGCGGAAGATGTTGACCCGGTAGCGATACAGCGGGAACGACGCAGACGGATACTGGTGGAACAAGACGAGGAGCAGAAGTGGTTTAACATCAAGAAGGTGCTTCAGGGCCAAGCACAAGAGCTGAGTTACAAAGAAGCTCGAGATGCCTGGAAGTACGCTGACCGGTTCGTGTTATCAGAAGACGGCGTGCTTCACTATCTTGGATTGAATCGGCGGTACGACCACGGTTGGCAAGAGGAGACAAAGATGCGGCTTGTGGTACCGACAACGATGATTCAAGAGGTCTTGCAGAACTGTCACGACTCGCTGGAAGGAGGACATCAAGGTGTGGTGAGAACGTTCCATCGCGTTAAGTCCGATTATTATTGGATCGGCTTGTACGCTGACGTGAAGAAGCATGCGAAGTCATGTCCAGATTGTAGCTCGAGTAAAAGCCGTCCGCAGCTTCGTGGATACTCGCCTGGCAACGTACTAGCCGAACGACCTTTCCAGATCGTCTCGATGGATTTTGTGATCCCACTACCGAAATCTCGCAGGGGCAACACTGCGTTGCTCCTATTTCAGTGCTCGTTCACGGGATTCGTTATTGCCAAGGCTATGTCGGATACGACTGCACTGAGTGTTGCCCAAGTGCTCGAAGAATGTAACGATGGTTCGGAGCCCCATCATTAATAAGGCACGACCGCGACCAACGCTTCATGAGCGAGGTTTTCCAAGCATTTGCAGAGATGATGCAGTCAAGATCACGGGCGACTTTGAGCTATCGGCCACAGGCTAATGGACAGCAGGAACGCTCGGTGAAGTCGGTGATGGGTTCCGTACGGGTGTACGCGGAAGACCCTCTACAGAAAGATTGGGACGAAATCGCAGAGAAGCTGGTATTTGCTATTAATACTTCTCAAGACACTACAAGGAAGGAAACACCGCTCTACCTCGTTCACGGTGGGGATGCGCAGTCGACGTTGCGGGCAATGTCGTCATCACTCAAACGAGGACTCGGCAAGCAGTCTGACGCACTGGCGTGGCGGCGCGAGATCAATCGACAACATGAGGTCGCCCTCACTATGGCCAAAGATTATCAGGCTGTAGAAAAGGAGCGAAGGGCTAAAAAGCATAATGAGGCCCTGAGTCGACTGTAATAAGCTGTTGTACCTCAACCAAGTGGAAACGAACACTCGGCGAACCCTCCAGAAGCTTCGGAAGAGATGGAAGATCCTGCAAGAGCTCCACCGAGATCTCTTTTTGAGATTGGGAGCCGGGCGTGGTTGTACATGGAACGCGTCAAACCGGGCTTGACGAAGAAATTAGCTCACCGATGGCATGGACCTTTTCGGATCAAGCGCAAGGTGGAAGAGTTTGCGTACGAGCTGGAACTGCCTGACCGAAGTGGGTATCGCTTTTACCCAGTAGTGCATGTGTCAAGACTCAAGGCCGTCAACGAATTCAACAGTCGGCCGAACACTCGGTTGGTACTAGACGCGACTAATGAAGCAAGACTCGACTTCGATGAGGAACTATTGCCTGAGGACAGCTGGGAACCAGATCAAGTTGCCGGTGAATATGAAGTCGAGGCCATCCTCGACGACAGAACACCACTGTCGACGAGCACGGAGCGTGCTGTACGCGAGTTCAAAGTCAAGTGGGTTGGTTATGAAGATCCAACTTGGGAACCAGCATCCAACTTGTCATGTGGAGGTCTGCTGTACGACTATTTGCGAGCCAAGAAGAGCGAGAATCGGCTGCAGATGGCGCAAGTGGCGGACGAAGACTAGCGTGACTGGATCACGTGTGAACTGTCCACAGGGCGATGCAGCCTGTGGTAACAGACGAAAAACGTAACTGCAACAACAAATTGTATATGCATTTAAAGAACAACATGAACATGATTACGCTGTGGAAGTGGGTTAAGAAAAAGAAAACATGAATGCCGACCGGGGAGCGACCACTGAAAACGAAGTCACGCGGGAAACCTCAACAGCTAGCTGAGATGCTGGAGAATGTCGTGGAGCGTGCAGCGAGGATTCAAATCGATTCCAATTGCCTGGCCGCGGTGGCCAAGAGTGCCAACGAAGTCGAGCCACCACTCTCCTTCTCCTCTTCATCAGGAGCCTGAGCCTCGGCAGCTGGAGCTGCAGCCGAACCCTGCGAATCCTCGGTACCAGCTTCAACAGGAGCAGCAGTCAGAGCGGGACGTGGAGTAGCCGGTGGCGAGTCAAACAACGAGCGCCAGGTCGGAATAAGTTCAGTTGAATCGAGAGACGGGTCAACGACCACGCTTCGGTACACATTCACGAAACGCGTACCACGAGGATTGAAGAGCTCCGGATTACGCTGGCACGGGAAGTACGTGGTGTTGTACGGGTGCTGATGCGGCGCATTCATCCATCCAGTACGCCAGGGCTGACGAGCGTCGAGAGCCGGAACCTCGGAAAGCCAGTCAGATGTCCGAGGTGCGAACGACAAGTTTTCAATGGGGTACCACGGTTCGACGGCTCCAAAAGCAACTCGGGACGAATGAACGGCGCGCCAGAAGTACCAGAGGAAACCGAGTCACGACTCCACGCCATGTACTGCTCACGGTACTTGTTACGAAGACGATCGGCACGACGGTCGCGCTCACTGAAGAGCTTCTTCAACAGAGCTCTCAGTTCCTTCAAGCGCTCCTTGTCGTGGCCAACCTTTTTCGCTTCTTCAGCGAGACCTCGTTCAATACCAGCCAACGGAAGCCAGTGGAGACGCTCCCACAACGCGAACCCGAGGTCACCTTGCTTACCGCCGTCACCCCGAAGGTTCGCCCAGATCATCTTGAGACGGGTCTCAATCGGAGCACGCTTGGAGATGGGAACGCTTGGATGGAAGTCGACAGTGTCGAAGAGACAGGCTTGAAGATGATAGAGCTGCCGAAGCTGCTGGTACGGGTGATCAGGATGCGAGTACGCTTGGAGACCCTCCAACGTTGTACGCACGGTCACCTCACCAGCTGGTTCGGTAAGGGTTAAGCTCAAGAGTCGCTCGAAACACTTCTTGGCGCCTGCGTCAGTAAACTCCATGTCCACGTACGGAAGAACCCACGGTGGCAAGGTGGACGAAGTCGGTACCGTAGGGCTACCACCAGACAACACTCGGTGAGGCAACGGCTCAACCGACGGTGCACCACCACGACGCGGCACCGAAGTGTAGGTGGCCGTAACCACGCGCCCAGGTCCAGCATCGAGAGTCCAAATAGGCGGACGAGGAGACACCGGAACAGGAGGAGAAGATGCTGGTGCTGGGTGACTTGCCGGTGGCGAAGGAGGCGGACCGGCAACTATGATGGGGGAAGTCATCATCGGCGAAGGATTTGGCCGAGGTGGAGTCGGAGGACGAGCTGGACCAAGATTGCTCCAATTTATCTCGGAACTTCAATATCTTCGTCATCGAGTGTGCTTGAATGGCGGAACATCACCACCACCACTGGGAGCATCAGGAGAATCATCCACCGAAGGTTCATTTTCATCCACGTCATTTCCACGATCGTCATCAGCATTTCCATCGTCATCAATCTCCATCGAAAAGTCGGGCGAAGACACGCTTGGTACGACAGCCGTCGGAATAGTCGGAGCCGGCTTCGAAGACACGGAGGCTAGTGGAGCAGCTTCAACAGGGGCAGACCCTGCTGTAGAAACAACTCCCGAGACTTCAACTGTCTTGGACGTCGCAACAGACGCCGAAGCAGACTTGCCTTGTGGGACAGTGTGGTCCGACTCTTCACCTTCATCACTTGAGCCGAACATGAGTCGCATTTGCTCGGCCTCGCGCAGAGCTTCTTCAGCAGCACGTATGTCGGCTGGAGAAGGAGAAATCGTTGAAGCTGGTGGCTTGGCCACATTGGGAGGACCCTGAGGCGGGGGCGAAGGCGCGTCAGGAGAATCAGAAACATCGTTGTGATCCCCAGACTCCACATCTTTACCCGAAGGCTCTGTGGCAGTTTCATGAACCGAAGGGATGCTGCTTGGATCAGCGTTCCCCATGTCCACGTCACTCTGGTCGCCGCTGAGGTCGACTACGGCGGGACTAGAAGAAGACGTTGGTGTAGGAGGTGGCGACCATGAGCTCGGAGAAGACGGTACAGACTTGGACCGAGTCTTCATATGACGTCGGGGCGACTTGGCAGGAGAATGAGGACGAGATTTCTTGCGCTTCTTCTGGGCCGCCTTCTTCCACGCCTTCGGGCCGAACAGCGATCTACGAGCAGACTTGGGAGTTGAAGTATCGGCAGGTGGCGCATCACCGAGACCAGCAGCTGCCATCGAAGTACTGGCCTTGTCCGTTGGGATTATGGCCTTGTCCTCGTCAGAGTCGTCCATCTCGTCGTCTGAATCCTCGCCACCTGGTTTAAAACGCTTATGGGACTTCCTATGGGCCACTTGGTGAGCGGCCTTGGCCAAAGCTGCAGGAAGGGCTTGAGGATCGTCCGAAGACGCGGTGGCAGACTGGATGCGCCGCAAAGCGACTAACGTCTCCTTATCCAAGTCCAGCGCGTCCAGGTCCTGCTCACCCGCAGTCAGACCTATCACGAAAGATTGTGAACGAACGTTAGTTGCTGAACACACGGTGGAAGGAGCGACATTAGGAACGTACCATCAACAGCCAGACGAAGTACCTCGGGATCCATCCCGGCCAGACTCACGTGTGCACGGAGGGTGCATTTCGCTTGGAGGAGGCGAGTGTTACGGTCTTGCTGGTTCTCGAGGACTTTGAGCGTGTCGTTATCAGCATACTTGCCCTGGGCAAGCTTTACCAGAAGGAGGTGGAGCTTCCGAGTTTGCTCGGTATTCGCTCCAATAAAAGACTTGTACACCTCGCGTTCGCGAGCCAGCTTCTTCTGCAATGTACTGATAAACACGTCCCGAGCTTGGACCTCGCAGTGCAGACGTTTCAAGTCTTCTGCGTGTCGATCCATAGTGGCTTGAACAGTGGCGAGCATGGCGTCGTTCTTGGCATTCGACTCGCGGCGAAACTTGACGTTGTGGTGAAGGGCTTCAATCTCAGCGTTGGCAGCCTTGAGGAACGCCTCCGCGTTCTCACGAGTCATGATTTCGGGTGCCACCGAACGTACGGCGGCAGCAGCCTCGGACTGAGCAAACCGCAACTGAGGCTCCAAGTCGGCGACTCGTTCGGGTAATGCCGACAGCGCGTCAGGAAGAGGTTGTACCGCAGCGAGGACATCATCGAAACCAACAGCAGCCTCGAGGCGACGTTGAGTGTGTACATCGCAGTGGAGAGGAGGCGCAACGCTGAGCTGCACTTGATGACGAGCCATTGCAGTCAAGTACGGAATTATCGAGGTCATCATGTGATCGACCGATGTCTCCGTACTTGCAGCCAGCATGGCGCGCAGCGAATCTTCGGTGAGTGGTGGTGTACCACCAGCAGGCGCAGGAGGAGCAGCAGGAGCCATCTTCGCGGATTCAGCGACGACGGGAAGTGCTGCAGGAGCTACCGCAGGGAGTGAAGGGTCCGGGGCAGGAAGCGCCGGAGGACCGGTTGATGACGCTGCTGTCGGAGGAAGTGTAGCAGACTGAGGGGTGTTCGAACCCTCGGCCTTGCCCTCCTGAGAAACAAGTCGAGTAACGCGAGGTGATGAGCAAGGTGCCGATGATTCAAGAGAAGGATGAGCTGACGTACCTCCAGCTGTTCACGTTCGCGACGTCTACGAGGATTGAGACGCTGAAAAGCGTCGGACACGGCTCGATTCAGACGCTTGGACATACGGTGGCGAGATGGTAAATTGAAGAATGAAGAAATGTCACAACGGGCACCAGTACCGTGGCTTCCATTGCGACAGGGGCAGTTGTGGTGTAGTGATTTCTCCGTAGTTGCGGATTATCACCCGTCGACAAAGACGTGACACCGCCCAAGTTGTTCAAGCGACGAACCCTCGGTCAGGTGATGTACGGAGACGCCAAGGTGCAAGGGACTCGACGGCGTCACTCCCGAGCTTTCAACAAGTATCGGATACGGCCATACGTCACTGAATCCAGGCTGTCCTTATTATTAATAATGGACTGGCCGGATTCGCATTCAGCGGACCATCTACGGTACGAAACCTCAGTGGCGTTGGGATGAGTTCGCGGAAGACCCAGCGACCCTTGGAAGGTACGTTCACCGCCTGGGACAGGGCGCGGACCGTTAAAGATGCTCATGCGACGGCGCAGACGACGCTTGGCATGCAAGAAGATCCATAACGGATCATTGTTCACTTGATATTTGTATACTTGATTAGGACTTCTTATTAGGAATAGACCCGAAAGGGTAAGCTTAAATACAGAACAGAATTTCCACTCAAGCACACAGAGCGACGTCCGGCTTCAAGGTAAGCGTCAGGTCAAGCTTGTTTGAGTGTGTTATGCCTGTCGGTGAACTCGAAGCTCTGTAGCGAGGGTTCCTCCGGCAAGGCCAAGAGACTTTGTGTATTGGCCGATTATTATCGGGAGGTTTTACGTGACGGCTTATTGTTGCCTATTTGCACGACTGGGAGTGCTTGAATTGCCTCCTTTTTATTCTTCCAGCCGAGTGTTGAGCACTCGGTGATCTCGTAAAAGGCTTACCCGTGCCTGGTACCCTTCCGCTGTTGGGACCACGAGGATTCAAAACACCTGCTAGCTTTGCTCGTGCTAGTAGCGTGTTCTTATTTTTACTGGTTGGCCTATATAAGTAGTTTACAAGGTCCAGTTTGTCCCGTGCAAGGGCAGAACTGGGGTCTTCAGGTCCGCCCGAATGATCGTTTACTATCCTAGTAGACGTATTGTTGTGGGAACGTCCTAACTACATTTGTAGCTAGAGTTCACGTGGGAATTCCAACACCACATAGCGTCCTTGTTGTCAAGTAAGTAGAAGCTTGAGTTGCTGTGGTCGAGGGTGTGTGTGGGTCTGGAGTTGTGCAACAATTTTAGTGCGCTTCTCTTGTACACACCAAATATTAAAACTTGCGAACCTCATTCTGAATATGGATTTCGTAGTCACCGTTAGCCGCACAAGGTACAGTTGCTGTGAACCCAGCCAAGCACCCCAGAAGCGACTTTTGCGATTGAGATGACCTTTTGAGCGAGAGCCTTGAGAAACATCATGAGTACACCAATAGATCTTGTGATTCCAATGAAACTCCGTTGGAATCTGATTTTCGTTAGTTCTGCATATCGCCAAAGACGTAGCTTAGTCCTATTAGGGATTCGAGCAGGATAAAATCGGTGTTTACATACCTGTTGTGTAGAACTGTAGACTCAGAGCTCCGAATACGAAACTTCATATTGTTCTTCTTGTATTGCATGAAAAAATTTATGAAAGTTACAATGGGACCGGATGGAAACGGAGCTACCACATTTGCAATATCGTTGCGGTCCGGAAACATGGTCTTCATCTCTTTCAATGGCCTACTGATACGCTTTCGAGACCTATACCCTCGACGTGATGCACTCACAAGGTCATAAGGTTGGTTACGACCCTCGCCATACGAATGATATTCGTCCTGCTCGTCGTGCCCATTGTCTTGCTTGTCTTGTTTGGAGTAGGGCATGACTTGCGCGTCGCCTTGTTTCACCTTCTCGTCACTTCGCGCCTATGACCCTGCATCCACCATCACCTTACGTTTCTTCTTTGAGGGCACCGACTCATGCGAAGAATACCGTCGATTAACGAAGCGTTGCTGAGGAGACTGTCGTCGTTTCTTCCCATCTGTAAAATTAAAAAATAACAACTATAAGTCATAGTTGAAGAAAGCAACCTTACTAAAACAGCAACATTTATTTAAAGCAACCATACACATACCGGATAGATTTCCGCGCAGCCTTCCGTCCTTGGCGTTTGCAGCTCGTGCATTACGACTTAATCGATTAACACGCGGTATTAGTCTCAACAAGTATGTACTGCGAGTAAGCTGAACAAACGCGCCGAGGTTTAAGGGGTCGTCTGTGTCGCCGGAAATCTCCTCATCATCTTCAGAGTCTTCCGTGTCGACGTTGTAGTCGTCCTCGCTGCTGTCGTCCTGCTCCATGCCAAGGGTGGCATACATATAGTTCAGCTCAAACTTATGTACTCGCAGGCCCCGCGCTTTAATAGAAATACAACACATAATAATATTAGATAATTCATGCGATACCTTCGCGTATGAGTTTGTTTCGCACCTTTCGACGAGGTTCTTTGCGCCATCCATCCTGGCACTCTTTTGCGCGTTGCCTCACTGAGTTTCCGCTCCCTGCCCACTGCTGGACCACTCGTCCTTCCACGCTGTCCGCGCTGCGCCGTAAAGTCTGCCGCGCGATTTTTGGAAATGAGAGGCCCAAAGCAATCGTACTTAGTTTGAAATCGTATTTATCTGAGAATCGCACTTAAATGGGTCTGAATCACACGTTAATTTAGAAAATATACTCCCGTTAAAAATTTTGAATTTCAGTTTTCGCAACCTTACATGTCTCAGATCGTCTAAAGCACTATAGTAAGGTTGCGGGTACCACTCCGCAAAATAATGAGTGCCAACGACAAAAGCAATGACAAGCACAACTTCGATTCTTTTTAACAATTATGGTAATATTTTTGTTTCTTATTTGTGTTTGATTTTAATTGATTTTTACCTTCTAAAAAACAAAAAATAAAGAAATTTTGCCTGTTAGTATTACAGGATTTAATTTTCGCAAATAGCACTAATAAAACATTAAAATATTATCTTTTTGATTTTGTGAAAGCCAGCAAAAATAGTGCTGCACCAATTATATAATTACTGGTATCGTACTACACAGCCAGTCGAGGTTTTTCACGTCCCGAAAATTCTCGCAGTGACGATGGCAGTCGCTTACGTTTATACTTGGTTTTTGTAAGGATTGCTCATCTCCCTCACCACGTCACACAAAACAAACTTTGTGCCACAAACCATTCACGACTTCGAGCAGCTACGTTAGACTTCGGCACTACGGGTGGACAGGCAATCACACGGTGAGATCGTCGCACTCCACTTGCTATTTTCCTGCAGAGAGACATAATGGCGGAGACATCCAGTGACCAGCCTCAGACTCCCGTAAAGCTCGCCAAGCAGCTCGTTGTGGACGCGGCCGCCGCCATGGCTGCGTCGCTCGGCGTGGCCCCCTTCATCACCATCGTGGACCGTGCCATTATCGAGAACGCCAGCGGCGCCCGCCCACTTGGTCGTGGCCTTAAAGAGCTCAGCGCTGACTTTGTTAAGCACCCACTGCGCTTTATTGGCAAGCGAGAGTTCCACCTCATCTTCGGTCTTTACACAGCCACGTACGTCGCCGCCAACGTCGTCGACTCTGTGTGCGAGTACGCCGAGACGGACAACCAGATGCCCAAATTTATCGGCACCACGGCCGTCAACATGTCGCTCTGCATTGCCAAGGATCGCGCCTTCGCCCGTATGTTCGGTGTCATCGCACCCGCAGCTTTTCCGCTCACATCTATCGGCCTTTTTGCCGTGCGCGACTCCATGACTTGCGGCGCGTCATTTAACGCCCCCAAGGTGCTGGCCAAGAAGATCGAGGACAAGGGTCTAATGGAAAAGTCTGGCGCCAACACCTTCGCGCAGCTCGTCTGTCCCGCAGCCGTGCAATTCTTGTCCACACCGCTGCACCTGCTGGGTCTTGATCTGTACAACAACAACGGCCACGCTATGTCGCAACGTGTGGGCTTCATCCAGCGTGAATACGTCAAATCTGTGCTAGCCCGTGTCGGCCGTATCGGACCTGCCTTCGGTATCGGCGGTGTGGGCAACGCCTACTTCCGGAACACGCTCCGCGCCAAGTTGGATTAGCTTTTATCATGGAATCATAAAGCGACTACAGGGTTCTAGCATGCGAGAAGCGCAAGTCACCAAGTACACCACCAGCACCGACCAGTGAATACAGGAGATACAATTATGTAATGTTGTTCTGGAGGATACCTTGCTATCTACATGTAGTACAACGTAGTACTGTAGTAGTATATTATAAAGCCATTGCATGATCGTTTATCATCAGCTACTACTACGTAGCTCTGACATGTACTACTACCGGTAGGACTTGTGAGATGCTACTACATGTCGTGATTAAATATTCCGGTAGTACGGTACTTACTTCAAGTAGTATTTATCTGTAGTAGTAGTAATTACCTGTACTGGTAGTACCAGTATGGTACTGTACTGGTTTTACTGTACAGTAGTAGCCTTTTGTTTACTGTTGAAGCTTTGTTTTAAGGTTCTGCGTGCCTCGCACTAATAGTTTATCCACGCGTTCAAGTGCACTACTAGTTGCCTCTTTGCAGCACCGTTTCTAGTCTTCGACAGTGTCGTCGTCGTCGCTGTCATCGTCGTCCTCTTCTTCTTCTTCGGCCTCCTTCAGCGCTACCTCTTTGATCTCCCGCTCCAGCTCAGCGAAATTTTTTAGCACTTTCCGTACGCCTCGTTCTGCCTTCTCAGGGTTGATGCGGGCAGCAGATGCACGCGCTTTCTGTAGCTCCTTAAGGAGAGGAGTTTTGGGACCCTGCGGTATGGAATAACAACACACACATGTTAGCGTATTATCACAAAAACGTTAAGACAAACGCACTTCGTTAGACGAACCTCGTGCTCCACTAACACTTCCATTTGCTTGTCGTATGCTTGGAGAAGCAGATTCAACAAGTCGTCCGAAGACATGGCGAAGAAGTGCAGGAACGACGGCTTCCCGACAGACGACCGAGTGTCTATGATTGAACCTAAATCATCACCCTACATAAAGACAAAGAGCGCTGTAAATAAAAAGTCACCCACATCTCACAGGTCGCAGCAGAAGAAGCCTGACCTTTACGCGGATGAAGGCACCAGGATATCCATCAAGCTCTTGAACGCCATGCAATTTCTACGCAGCCAATACCCATGTCAGTACACCAGAATGAGAGCTCCAACTGCTGTCAATTCACCTACTGATGACGAAGTTTGTGCAGGAGGCCACTCCAAAGCGTACCACCAACGACACAGCAGCTCCTGCACCAGTCGGCCCTTGAGCGTCTCGTACAGTTCCTCTGTGCACTCCTGCTGCCGGATCTTAATCTGTAATGGCCATATTCAATCAGTTTATAATTCAACATCCTCGTCACGAAGATATTGCCAGCTCCCACCTTTATTACTCGCTTCTTGGTCTTGCGCGGCGTGGAGCGGGAACTGGGAGTCGATACTGACGCCCTCTCCGTCTTGACCTTCGTTTCTACCTTCAACTTCTTGCGCTTAGCTAGGCCGATGATGGGAATGTCATCGTCGCTGTCGCTGTCGGATGCTGGCTGCCGCTTGGTGCTGCTCACTCCATTAGCCACTGACGGCACCTCCGCCTTCACTTCAGCCTTCACTTTAACTTTCACCTCTTCCTTCACCTCTTCCTTCACCTTCAGAGCTTTAGCTCGTAAAGCTGAGAGCGGGACATCGTCGTCACTGTCGCTATCACTGCGGCAAAGAAAGAAACCGTGGCGTGAGATCTTCCGACTTCCCCACGCTATAGCGACGGCTACCGATAACTTGAAGATACAATAGCACGATGACGACGTATTGCAGTCCTTCTTTTATCAATATGACTATCCACAGAGAGCTATACCTGTCGATAATGCGCGGAATGGACGGAATCGCACTCATCCTCAGCGTCGGTGGCAACAAATAAAATGGCCGTCTTTGGTCTTTGTTACTAAAATGAGGTAAAATTGTAACAGTTCTTGACCCACACCAAAAGCCATTGGACGTTAGTGAAAGGTGGCCATGGACGACGACCCGGTGGTGCGCGAGATACCTGTGCATCTCGCCGATGAACTGCGTCAAAACCTGTGCGCCCATTAGTGCTGTCACTGTCTTCATACTGGTGTTTTCTAATTAATTGTATTCTGACGGAAATGACTGGCGAGCAGCTACATGGTGCAGTTCCCACTACGGCCGACGTACCGCCCGATGCCGGAGCCGCCGCGTCGCGCGCGTATCAAGCCCAATAACCAGTTGATGCAGATCGATTTTCCCGTTGATCAACGCAGCGAACACTTCGATCAGGACGCGGAGGAATATCTTAAGCAAAAACACCTGCGGCTGCATTCGTCCAGTGTGCCGGCGCTGTCCAATTACGTCGTGGGCGTCTTTCGCCAGGGCCAACTGCACCTCACGCCACTTTCAGCAATTATGCAAATGCGCCCCAGTCTCTCACACATCGACGACGCTGCTAACGAGGAGGAGGAAGACATGGAAGTGGAGGAGAAAATGGAGCCACCGCCTGTCGAGATGAAGGAAGTGCAGTTCCAGTTCAAGAAGAAGCAGTCGGAACGTGCCATGTCAGCTATTCAAAACTCGTACGCGTACAAGAAGCAGCAGATCGACGCCGAGAACTGGATTGAGCTCCAAGTACAGGACAAGAGCGTATGTTCGATTAGGTTAAAGGAGTGGATCGTTGTATTGACGTGCTGTGTCTATGGCTGTAGAGTGCTGGCGCTGACGATGAGTTTGAGAACTTGTTTAGCGAGAAGGAAGCGGAAGTGATGTCGACTATGACGCCCGACGAATATATCAAGGCGTTGCAGTACCGTGCAATGGCCACAGTGGAGAAACTAGCAGCTCCGTCCAACCCTGCACAGTACGTGCCATTTTCTGTTTTTTGTTTTTGTTTGAACCGATAAGAAACTTATCGTTTTTATTGCAAACGAACAGAACGAACCTCGACGATGAGGAGGACAAGGATGAAACGATGAACCCTGTTACTGGTCGTCTTCTTGATGCCGTTGACGCCAAATTTTCAGACGTGCTACGACTGCTCGCTACCGACCAGATCATGCACTTCGACACGCTGGCGAAGCTTCTTCCCAGTCGTAATGAGGAAGAACTGCTGGATGCTCTCAAGCACGTCGCTGTACATGTGCGAGGACGGCTTCTCCCCTCCAGGTACGTTGTTGATTAAGTTAACGGCATCGGCACATGGCAGAGATTCACACTTGTACGGTGTTATTTTACTATACAGTGCCTTCGTGTGCCGCGGAGAGACGACGGTGCGCGGCCGCAATGAAATTATCAAAGCAGTGCGTTTAATTGTCTTGCTGAGTGGTGTATGGGTGTAGCGAAATGACGAATTGTTGCTCGTTTACTCTCCAGCTGTCGAAGGCGACCACCGGTGTATCTCGTACGGAACTTGTAGAGGATTTCTCGCTTGACGCAGACGTCACCAAAACGATCCTGAGCGGTACCGGCTCACAATCTTTAGCTGCTTTGGTTGTTGATCATAGCTATAACCTATTGCCTGCGTTATTGATGACTATAGAGTTTGCTGTGTTGGACTCGACAACGCGTAAGTGGAGCTTCCGCCTGGGCCCCGACAACTCGTTTACAAAGCGATTCCCTGCCGTCGGAAAGGCAATTAAACTTTAGAGCGTCTATAGACAAAGGCTGCATTTAGCGTGTTTGAATAGTTTTGCAACCGCAAGTTTACATCAGTCTTGAGGCTAAGTCTTTTGTTACTAGGTCGCGACCGCGAGCTTCTCTGCTTGTGCTTCACCCATCCGCTCCGTCTCCTTCTCCTTTTTGTTGCGCATAAACTCCAGCGCCATTGCCCTCCAGTCAGCATACTCTGCAGGAGTGGCAGCCGCAACTCCGTCCCTGGATAACACAGAACCTCGTGACGTTGTTGCATCCGCACGAGACTCTCGTACTCGTTGCAAAACACGCTGTTGCGCCAATGTCTTAGGTGGTGATGCCACGCCACCGTCAAGGCTTGTCCTCTGTCGTTTTGCACGCTCCTCCTCTTCCAGTTGCTCCGTGCGATGCTGTTCAGTGAGTTTTCTAGCTGCTCTCTCTCCTGCGAGGTTACGACGTTTTTTTCGATCTAAAATTGCGCCACTCAACGAAGCCTGGCATTGGGCCTGTTAGCAGAAGATAAATAAGTCGTTGACCCACACATCCAACAAGCCAAATCTATCCGCACCTCGATAGAAGACACGATAGCGTCAAACTCCTTTGCGTTACCACACACAGCTTCCAGCAACTTGTCTTGGTTCACATTCATCTAAAACATCACAAACATTTTCGTCAGTAGCTCTTCAAAATCGTCCTAACGTCACACTCAATCGCTCACTTTTGCCTGCTTACTGACTGCAAATAAACATGCGGCTGCAAACACTGGATCCTGCCCGTTCATCGTAGCCACCACTGGCCCGAGAGGGTGCTTGCTCCTCTTCTTCCGGTTTGCAGCCGCAAGCTTCGCGAGATACGCTCGATATTCATCCAGCACTCGTTGTACGATCTCTGTCAGCGCCTCACAGCCGAACTTGATACATAGCGCGGGAGGTGACGCCTTGACCACCGTACGAACGCCCACTGCGTCCACCACCTTACGCACTGTGGGCTCTACCAGTCTACTATTGGCACCTGCGCATTTTGCCAGTCGCTTCTTGTCCACACGTTCCTCCAGCGCCCGTGCCGCCACCAAGATGCACGCGACAGGACCAGCAAACGCGTCCAGTGCTGCTGACTTCTTTGCACTCGTTACGCGCCAGTTTTCCTCCGCCCGAGCCACCACACGCGCTGGTAGTCCGCCATACTTGGCTGCAATGGTCTTTACGTCCATGAAACTTTCCAAATGGCTACATTTTTGTTGCATATGAAATATGATGGGCTATTGATGTATCGATTGTGTAACACCAGATGCGGATTGAAGCGCAAGAAGCCACGTTGACCGCACGCGATGGACGTGGAAGCCGTAGACGCGTCGCCGCTGGCCGAGGTGCCAGTTGAAGGTAAGAGTGTAAAGGGGAATTGTGTATACGCATCTATATGGCCACTAAGGTGGGAATATGGCTTCTTGTGACCTCCGTACGACGCTGTGACAGACCCTCAAGTTGAAGAACCCGAGGCGCCTCCGCAACAACAGCCTTCCCCACCGCACTCCAATGGCGGAGTGGACGTCGTGACGCAGCTACGCGCATGGCAGGAACGCGGTGCCCGTATTGAGCAGCTGTTGGCAAAAAAGAACGCTAAAATGCAGGAAATGGAGGAGACGGTGAGCAGCAAGAGACTCAAGAAGGGCCTGAGAATTGACTGACGTGTTATTGACTGGTGCATTTACACAGGAGAACAAGTTAAAACGCTTGTTGGCGATGGCTAAGCGCAGCATTGACAATAGCAAACAGGAACTGGCGGAGAAGGACGGCACGATACAAAAGCTACAGGAGGAGCTGGTTAAGAGCCAACAGGCCAGACACTCTTGGTTTGTGGACGCATCCACACGTGATCCAAGACAATTGCTGCACAAAGTGGCTCATGGGAATCTGCTCTGGTGCCTGGTGGAGTACGCGAACGAGAACGATCTTGACGACTCGAAGGAGTTTGCGTGGCACTGTTTCCATAGTGAAGAAGACATCCAGACATACGCGAGCCGTGCGACGGGAGAACCCCTGACATTACCAGATTTCTCCATGACACCGTATGAAGTGGAGCGTGTGGTATGTCGCTGCCATATTAATATTGGATTGGATTGGTGGCTGTACTGGTGATACTAACGTGTTTTTGATACTGGGTGACTGTGTTTCGTCCATCTGTAGAAAAAGAGTCTGAAGGAGGAGATGGACCGTGTACAGGAGGAATTTCGTCGCTATCGAGTGCGCTCGGAGATCACGCGAAAGCAGAAGGACGCAGAGATCCGCAAGGTTGGTTTGCTATTGTGGCCGTCCGTATATAACCAATTAATGCAGTACTCATGAATTTGCGCCGAATCTGCAGATGAGTATGAACGTGATGGCGAAGCAGACAGAACAGATATCAGAGGCTGATCTTTCTGGAGAGCTGCAGTCGTCAAAGGCGCAGATCCGCCGGCTGACAAAGGCTCAAGCGGAAGCTGAGAAGCGGGTACGTAATAAAGTTTGTGTCAAGTGATTTATGTTTGTGTCGTAATTTCCGTATTGGTTTGCAAGGAATCCGACTGGCGACGGAAGTTTGAGAAGCTGATGAAAGACTATGAGAAGCTCAGCGGCACGATGGGCGAAACGGTTCTAGCGATGGAGTGGAGAGAGAGGTGCGCTGTTGGTTATGATTGCGTGCGGATAAGGCACGCCTGACGTTTCTGTTTGTTCTTTAATGCAGATATGAGCAATCAGTTCGGGAGAAACAAGAGCTGGAAAAATATATGGAGGAACTGAAGCTGATGACGGGGGCGTTTGGTAGCGGTGGCGACAATGGCAACGGAGACCTGCAGTCTCTGCGACAAGAGTTTGCGCAGTACCGAAAGCGTGCTCTGAATGCCGTGGAGCAGAAGGAGAAAGAGTTGAACGACATCCAAGCGCAGTACCTAGAAAACGGTGTTGGCAGCAGCGATGCGAGCCGCACGAACACTTTCAAGGAAGTTCGCGTTCGTCGCATGAGCATGGAGTCCAATAGCAGCCTGTCGGGATTCGAAACGCCCAACGCCACCAAGACAAACGAGTACTTGAAGAATATAGTGTACAAGTACATGGCCTCGGACCAGGACGAGGTAAGTCAAGTACACAACGTCGCTGTCGAGATACCCTGAGCTAATACTGCGTGTGTATGCAGGCTAAGGAGCACATGGAGAAGGCAATTGCGACCGTTCTCAACTTTACGCCAGCGGAAATCACTGCCATTCAGGTGTGTAGGCGTGCATTCTAGCTGCACAAGTACCGCGCTTCTGACGTGCATGTTGCTATCTCTTGTTGTTGTCATGTAGGAGAAACGCAAGCAGCAGCAGGGCTGGTTTTGGTAACTCAACTTGGAAAATTCTACGCTCTCATTTCGTATCCAGAGGAGCGACTGATAGATTTGCACTTGAGTTTATTATTATTGCCGTGAAGCATTTTGATACCAACGTTTTGGTGCTAGTTGAGCTCGTTGATCGTGATTGGATTCGAGCTTGTTGAGGTGGCGTACGTATCTCTCCATTCGTAAAGCGACCAGCGGCTTCGCTTCAGTTCGTCACGAGCAACATCGACAGCTTTTACACTGAGGGCGATTTCCAGACACGTGTAACAAAGCGCAATCTGCTGCTGCACCAAGCGATGGTCGGGGAGAACGAACGTGAGTTTATGCAAGCTGCGACAGTCCGGACACACGTAGCATTCGCAGAGTTTACACCGACGTCGCCAGCGGAAATTTCTGCCCCCAGTTATCCGACTTGCGGTAGCAGAGAGGAAAGTGGAGACAGCAGAGCGCTTTTTCCCACAAGTCACACAAGGGCCGTCAACCGCGATGTCCACCGCCTGTGGTCGTCTGTCGGATCGATGTCGCTGTCTTATTGCCCATTTGATCTTCTTCATGTGGCAGCAATAAGCATTTCTGGACACGGAGAGCAGCGTCCGAGCGATAGACCGCGTGATAATCGAGTTCTCCAGTCCAGAAAGAGGATTGAGGAATCCTTTGACGTAGACATCCGTTTCGTCGCTGTTCTTCTGTCTGTAGAAGGCGCAGATGGACATATTGCCTCGTATTGCTGATGAACGCTCTGGGGTCTCCGGGAATTGGATCGAGTGCACAATCTGGTAGCCCACTCGCTCTCCGTTGCGAAGGTAGTCGACACCTGTAGCCTCGAGATAAACGTAGTCTCGGTTCTTGACCATCGCTCGAGCATGTTTCGATTGACCTTTTTCCATCCACTTGACGACCACCGAAGTGAACGGGTCGTCCACAGTTGGAGATACAAGTGTAGCCAGCACACTGCCACGCACAAGACCGTCTTGCACGTAAGAAGTCTTGACGCGCATCTGATCCAGTGTCGGACACATGAATCCGTACATCGTATCGTCCAGTTCTCCTTCGATCGCTCCGACCACTAAAACCGACGGTATAGTGCTCGTCGACGACTGTGTGAAGACGGGAGCTCGTCGGTCTAAATGCCCCGCAGCCGCTCCCATTGCTGCTCCGAAACCAAATGACTGAGTGGTGCTGCGTTCTGCGTACGACCGCAGTCCCCCCTGTTCGTACATAAGTTTCCAACGCGCCTTGTCCACATTGTTACTGTGGCCATTATCATGCAAATGTCGTTCGTACGCCTCGATGTTCCGTGCCACGAGCGTTTGTGCCAATGTCTCGAGCCCCGCCACCGCCTCGGTAGACAGCGACAGCGACGCAAAAGGGTTCGAGAAGCGCTCACTGACGTGTGACGTCCGACTCGCGTCACTCAGAACTATGCTTGCTTCCGTACGCCGGTGGTGCATACTCAGCAGTGCTCGGAATCGACTGTGGAGAGACGAAAATTCAGCCACGTAGGTCTCAACCGCCATCGCTCTTGGTGGACATGCTTCCTCGCGCATAAATCGGCACTTTAGCCAGGTCAGCTCGCGAGATGAAAGACTCGAATTGAGTCAGGAATCCGCAGCAGATCATGGTCGACGTGCCGAGTCCAGCTGCTGTGGCGAGCTTAGACAATATATCGCCTGATTATCTGGCTTTCGCTTCAACTGGCCTTCCCACGCTGGGTCACACACAACTTACTACTGTACATGTACAGTACATGTACTTAAGTACTCGTCATTGAACGTTGGACCAGATTATTTTAACATGCCATTTAAATTGGCGAAACTCCTCGAGTTGGCACCAAAAGAGAACAAGGAGCCTACGTAAATGTTCCTTAGCATCTCGTGCATCTAGTGAGCTATTTGCGTCCTTACTAACATGTCCGAGCCAAGCACCTCACCAGAAGGATTACGTAGTACGGTGCTTATAAGCAGACAACCCCCTCGGTAGTCATAGCGTCGGGAGACTGCTATTTATGCCTATTTAAGGGGATTCCTATCGCTGGATGTACCATAAAAATGGACCATTCACTCACCACAGTCAAACCAGCAGTAAATAGTACTATAGAGACTGCCAAATTTTTAAAATTGAATATAAATTTCAATAGGTAATACCTGGCTTATCAGCTGCGTTTCTTTTCTATCTTAGCAGCCTTCACATTTGATCTTGCGAACAGGTTATTGTATCCAGGGGCTGAGTTGTTAAGGTTTTCGCTCGTAGGGAAGCTACTGGATGTCGTCGACGGTAGCCAGTCTAAGGAATCTTGTATGAGGAGATCAGGATAACCACTAGAAACGTCCGTGAAAGTATAGATTGGAATCGCTATGCATCGCTTTAAGTATCGAAAGTTTTAATAGGGAATGCATGGGGATCAAAAAGGTTAAACCTTTGCATCGGCTAAGGTATCGTTCTTAAAGTGTGACAGCACCTATGACTCAGCCATAGTGAATTATTTCTGAGTCAGCGGCTACCTGCAACTTCCAGCCAGTATCCGCAACATCAGCCAGTCTCTTCACCCAAGTTCCAAGGAACTCCTAATAGTAGCCGCAACTAGCAAGATGCGAGCAAGGCCATTGAATCTATTAGTCCTTAAACTCGCCACCTAAGGATCAACCGAGCTCCAAAATCGGCGGAGTTCATGACAGTAATTAACTATTAGGCGAACACTGCCGTCAGTGATGGATTCGGAAACTTCTGAAGACCGCCCGCATCAACACCCGCGAACTAATCCCTAAGGAACCAGATGGGACGTGCCACCGACTGCCCAAGCTCCTCCCCAGACGACAGCAGGAGCCGCATAGTCCGCTCCACAAGCACCAGGGCCCGCGACGCAAGGTTCGACGGTGCAATCTACCGTTACACCAGACATGCTGGCGCAGATGCTGCAGTTTGCACTCCAAACCACGCAGCAGCAGTCAACGCAAATGAGCCAAATGCTGGCCCAGACGGCGTAAACTCAAGAACAAATCTTACAAGCTCAGTCACGCCCCAGGCCGACACGGAAGAAATCGGATCCCCCGCGCTACGAGAGTAGTGACGACGACGACCTTGAGCTGTGGATCTTCAATAGGGGATTTAGCAGGTATACACGTAGAAGGTAGAGATATTATACGGAGTTCCAAGAAGAAATGCATAATAACTCATCGAATTTCGCGGACATGGTCTCCGACAATCTTGGCGTTGATGCGCCAGCCTGGTACAGAAATGTCAAGCTTTTGCAAGGGACAACCCCTCTAACTTGGCAAGTCTTCAAGGAGCGTACCCGCTCACGCTATCGTGACAAGGATTTCAAGCTCAAGACGCTCACGAAGATGTACGAGCTTAATCCTAAAAAGTCGCAGCAGGAGTACACCTCAAAGTTCCTACATCTTTTGTCTCAAGTCGACATCGAGCTGCCTGAGGTGGTCAAGCGATGGTTATTTCAACAGAATGTGATATAGTAGAACACACAAATACCGTCAGATGTGGATTCCTTACACAAACCACAACAAATAGCCGAGTTAGGTCGGCGCTTGTATGACCTGCGCAGAGGGTGGCCCCCTCGCGGTTCGGCCCAGCCGGGACAGACGAGTAGCTCGCTTCCACTGAGCTCCGACTAACCAAGCCAGAGTACTTCCGAGGCTCCGCCGAGTTTGGCTCGGCAGAGCTCGTTCAGAAACCCTGTGCCTCCACTAAATGATGGACGACATCGCGCGAGCGCTTTTACAGGTCATCGAGCGCAGAGGCTGCTCAGCTAGTGTCACGGCACCCGGGCTATCCGACGTACCGGCCCGCCAAGTTCGCGGGGCTTTCTTTCGCGCGTAGCAAGACTTTTGTCCTACCCGGACCGACATAATCTCTTGGCGCTACCAGTCAATATCCTACAAGCTATGGTATCAACGGCAGGCATAATCCAGCCTTATGCAGGGACTTACCGGAAGAGTGTACACGTGCCTTGGACTAGAAAATTCTGCTCCGTTATCTTCGGGGTGGGCCCCTTTCGGTCCCCCTATTAAATCATACGCTTCCAATACAATATCTAGTGAAATGTGGTCGTTTCGGATCCCTACCGACCCTTCCGGCGACCGTTGACCTCAGTGGCTATCCGGATATCAGCATCCGGACAGATCGCCGAGTACTTACCGTGATCCTTTGTTCCTAAGCTCTGGGTTACCAGGCCAATCCGATTCTTGGTCTAAAGTAGGTTGATGTATGGCCGAATCTGAAAATCCCTACACCACAACTGCCCCGGTTATGATACGAGCCGAGCTGGTGAGTGTTTTACTCCTTCATTTGGATCTGCACCGTTGGTCCATACTCGGCTAATGAGGTCTCGCGGTCCTCCACCACCTTCTTCGGTACTTACGCCGGCTGTGTTATTGCTCACCTGGCTGCTCCTCACACTCCTCGTCTGCTTCTTCAGGACATCCCACGGCATAACTCTTCTCCATCGAGTCCCCGTCGAGGTGAAGGCGCGTTCGCTGAGTCGATTCCTCACCACGTTGGTACTCGTGGGGTCAGCGGCCGGCACGATGCCGGGTTGGTCGACCTGACAACTTCCCATGAGTCTGATGTGGAGTCGGCGGGGTCTTCTCGCGCGCGCCTTCCTGGTCCGTCGATCTTGCCGGGCGACACCACTTCGGACGCCAGTAATCAGTCGAGCTCGGCTGCCCCAGTGAGTCTTGACTCCCTCGCGACACTGGTCAATCAGCAAGGGAACGAATGCCGAGAAGAATTGACCTTCTTGGCGAGGCTCATGGCCTACGGGTTCACTCGCCCCGTGGGACCCTCTGATCTTGCACAGCTACGAGCGGTCCTGCACGCTTCTACAGCTGATGAGCTGCTGGAACGCTTGAGCGGTCACTACACTGCTCTTGATTACTCTCAGGTCATCGGGGACCTCAGAGATGACCTTCAGACCGCCAGAGTCGAGAATCGCGCGTTGACTCGGCGATTGGACACCCTAGCTCTTGACAACGTTGACCTGTCAACGCAAATATCGTCGGCAAGGCTGCAGGTGTCTCGGCTGGAGGTCGCTGCCACGCAGTCTGTTAATCACCTCGCCTCACTACAAAAGGCCGTAGCTCTAAGTGAAGCAAAACTCGCTCGGGCTGTCGAAGCGGATCAAGGCAAGGTTGAGGCTGCGTTGAATCAGGCCCGGCGCCACCATCAGTAAGTCTTGGATCGAAACGCCGAGATCGCAACTCTCCTCTAGACTATCACCGAGAAGGACGCAGCGTATACAACTCTTCAGAGCATTGCTGTTAAACATTTTGAGCAGCTGCGGGAGTCGGAGCAGATGTACAGCTCGACCGGCAATCAAACATTGCGGCACGCTCACTTGGTTCGCTGGCCCGCGAGCAGTGATTTTGCGGCAGAAGCGGATCACCCGGCAAAACGGTACTCTTCCGATGCATGACCCTCGCACGGCTGCTGCTGCTGGCATCGGGTTGGACGTTCCTGGACTCGATCCGTCCCACCTTCGTCTGAACGCCCGGCTGTAACGGGGTAAGAGATACCGTCACTAGCTTACACTATAGTGTGGAGGAAGCTTGCAATAGTAAAACCAAGTCTTAGGTTTGTGTCAAATTCAACTCTGATTTATTTAGGACCAGGGCGGCTACCCCTGGCCTCGTGTGAACCACTCAAACACATGTCTATACCTGATTGGTCAATAAGTGAGTCTGGCTCCTCACTATCAACCAATCAGATCATGACACCTTAGCACACGCTACCCGTGTGCCACTTTACCTACTTATGTAATAACTAAAGAAATATCTACCTACTTATGTAATTGGAGTTGGGCCCATTACACCGGTTGTGTCGCATCTTGGAGTCTCGCTTCTCCGAAGTTCTCAGCATCCCTGCTGGCGAGTCCTGACATCTAGAGGTGATAGTCCATCCTCGTCGGAACTTCCCAGCGGTGCTTCCGGTTTATGCTGCTGGGCCGGCTGTTGCCCCCAGTGTTCAACCACTGAGCTCTGCGTCTTCAGAGCTTCCGGCTTCTTCTATGACTCCTTCGGTGAACTCGGCTGCGGTTCTTGCGAGCTCAGCGACGGTTGTGAGTCAGCCCACGCCAACACTCGCTCAGCTTCGTCGTGCTCCGTCGGCCGACGTGACACCTACGCAGCGCCTTCGGTGTTACGCGAACCCGAACTCTCCCACTGCTGCTGGTCCTCGTCACCGTTCGCCGACACCGCCTCCGCCTCCGCCTCAGCCGTATGCTTGTCCACTTCCAGGGGATGAGGGACACGACGCCGTCGGTGCTCTCTTATGCTCGAGCTCTCCTCAGGAGGCCGTGTCCGACGGAGAGAGATCTCGTTCTGCTAAGTCTCGACGCCGGACTCGGCAGAAGAAGGTTCGTCGTCTTCAGTTGAGTTCTCCTACACAACCAGCCGTCTCCACTCGCTCGGAAGGTGAGGCTGAAGCTTCGAGCGAGGCTGAGTTTGACATGCCTATGCCTGATGACGACACGGTCCCTGCGTCTGGTTCGTCGACTCTCACAGAGCTTCCGCCTTCTGGTAATCTGTCGACGTCATCAGTCACGGCCACTCAACCATCGTCGGTGGC